CCCCCCACCCTCCCCCGCACGCTCACCGCTCTCTCACTTTTCCATTCTCTCTCAGCATTATATATTCACATATCAAAATATTATATTATACCTTTTTCGAAAACTAACGTCTTTGTATACATTGGTCACAGTTTCAAAAGTTTCATTTTCGGTCATGCGTCTGTACTAAAAAGTCAATAGACGAAGTAAAATAAGATTTAAAATATTTTTTAAAGAAAAGAGCCTTTCGTCAGAGGTAGAGCATTGGAGTGAGTGAAAACAAATAATGTGAGATAGGAAAAAAAGGAGAAAAAGGAAGAGAGCGAAGACTTAAAAAAGAGGGGCACAGGAGAAAGTGGGGCAATATTATTAAAATTTGTTCTCATGAGATACCACTATAGTTTTGTATTCTTTGTCGAAGTTAAAATTGTGTGTTTGCCTCTCTCGTCTTGTCGACCATTTTTTGTTTCTCTTGAAGTTTTAAAACATTATCAAAGTAGAGAAAAGATGGGAGTAGGTTTTAGGGTTTCATTAGGGGTGTGTGTGTGGGGGGGGGAGGGGGGTGGAAGGAAAGATGTGTCCCGATGGATTTAATCATCTTATTCAAAATAGTTTTAGTTTCTTAGGGTGGCAGCAAAGCTCGCTAAATAAGGTAAGGGAACTTTACTGATCTCAAAATCTGTGACGAACTTAGGTTATACTGCTGGTATTTGGATCTCTTTGGTGTGTCTATGTGAGGCGTGCTGACAAAATGAGTCAATTCTCGCAATCCTCGAATGGAGATGCTGGCCAAAAGTAAACTCACATAATTTGTAGATTTTTAGCTGATGCCAGTTCTTCCAGTTTAACAAATCTCTTTTTTTTTATTTCATATACTTTAATTCAATTGTACAAAACCAACCTCTAATCTAAGTTTGATGTATATTGTGTGCCCATTGGGCTAAAATCCAAGAAATAACTCATTTTCTCAGCACACCTCTCCTGTTATTTTGGAAATAATCCATATTATATTAAAATCTCAGCTAAGAGTGTTTTCATGTTGCCTGTGTTTGCCTCAATTGTATGAAGGCGCCTGTCTACTCTTCGTATTCATTTGGCCCTTTATGATCTTCGAGTTCTTGCGACCATAGAACGTCAGTGTTTATGCCCTCTATTGAAAATGATTTCCGTATATGAGGCATAGGCTGGTCTTAACCCTTTCGGTGCTAGGCGTTTACATTTACTTTTGTACAAAGGAGATAAAATGTTCATTCAACTGAGATTTAAAACGAAGCCATAATGCGTTTACCTTATTAAGGATACATGACTGCATTAGTTGGAAAATTATCTCCTAAAATACCCCCCCCCCCTTCCCCCGAAAAAAAGAAAAGAAAAGAACAAATAATGAAATAAAATAAAATAAAATAAGATATAATATAATAAAATTTAATAAAAATTATTCTAAAAATGAATAAATGAATAAATGACATTTTAAAAAGATTATTAAACGGGCTAAAATGACAGAAAACACGTTTGGAAGAAAACTAGAAAACTAGGGGGTATAATATCATAGTCAATACAGCAATGGAGGGGTTAACTCTTAGAGATTCGCACATCTCCTGAGTAGATACAGCATTTTCATTACCCGTTTTCCTCAGTTATCATAAATTATATCTACTTGCCTGTACAACTGTATTCATATATACCGAATCTTTGTTCTTTCCTTAAAATGTTGGTGACGAATACATGCTTGTAGCTTGAACTCTATCCTTTTAATACTGAAAATGCCAACGTTTACAAATAAACTTTTAAACTAAAGTTGCTGCGACAAAGCGAGGAATAAACTTAATTACGACTTGAAGGAGTTAAAGCCGTTAGTAAGCTTATGTCGGGTTAAACTTGAATCCACTCAGTACTGCATGGTAAACGTGATAAGTTTCTTGTTAACGTAACATGATAAAAGCAACTGATACCCTAAGCCTTACCTGCTAATCACAAGTTAGACCGCTTTACGTGGTTATTTTGCCAACTATGTATTTTTTCTTCTAGAAATATGAAAGCTTAGCTTTGCAGCCGAAGAAGACTCCGTTCGAAATGATGCACACAATTCGAAACTCGTTTCCGAAGAAAGTATTTCTAGGTTTGGGCCAGAATATGTCCTGTGTCAGCTCGGGTGTGCTTGGACTTGGCCTTAAGTGACTTTCTGATCACAGTCGTGTTAGATAAGCTGCTAGAAGCACTCCACCCGAAAAACACTTTACGCTTCGCCTACCACCAAAGCCCCTCCCAAACTCTATTCAGAACCTTCATGGCAAGCGTAAAAAAACTTCCGGCGACTCTCTATTTGCATACCCCCCCCCTCCGCCCCCTCCCGCCCACAGTTATTACCAAGCTAACGTCCGCAGCATATGTCGAATGAGAGGTCTTTGAAGCAACCTATTCATGAACAAGACAAGTCAAATAAAACGTTTCCCTTAAGCTTTCTGGGACACAGCACAGCATCAAGATTATGATTTTATTTATTTATAGAAACAGATCTGCCCTCCTATTCTCTCACTCCCAGAGTGCCTTTTTGAATGCTGAGCAGTCTGTATA